CATCCCTAGAGTAGCTTTTGGTAAGAATGGATACACCTGCCATCTAGATGCTAAAGTAGTATACCCTTTGTAGAGATGAGATGATGGAGGAGCTAAAAAAAATGGGTGTTACATACATCCATCAGTGGCTCAGTTCAGGGAGAAAATAAGAGTACAGCAATTCCAGTTTCAACAAAAATTTGAAGTTACTATATGTTAGACCTGTTACCCTTTAGATTCCCTTAGCAAATTTTTCATTTTGGATAGTATTTCCACAGAATAAGTAATTTCTTAATATTAAGGCATGTCACCTTAGAAGTAAACAGTTTTAGTTTAAATGGTTTGAAGTTCTAATCTTATGTATGCAGAAAGTAAAAGTCACCCTTTTAAAGTTGCTCATTCCGCTCAGTAGATGGCATTATATGCAGCAGAAATGTATCCAACACATTTCTGTCCCTGTAGTTTTGTCACCCATGATCAGACATACAGCAGTTTTCATGGCAAATACATTTATTCACAAGGGCAGTTTCATTCTTTATTTTCTTAGTGTACTCACACAAACTGTGGGTGCAATACTCAAAGAACAGGTTGATGATCAGAAGTCACACATAATGTGCAGATCCCAAATTAAAGCTGCACTTCTATTTGTACAAAGTGTAAGGAGTCCCTACAGAATGCAGAAAAACAAGTGCATGAATTGGGATTCATTAGTGCAGTAAAAATGAAACCTCCTTCTTTTACACATTATCATTAGAAAACTGCTATATCGTGATTCATTCTGGCCTATCATGAACACTTTGAAGCCAAGTAAGATTCCCCAGTAATCATCATCACTGCTCCAGCTTACGGTGGTTCCAAACAGAAACGCATTTTCTGAGGACTTTCTCTCTTACTTTATGAATGTACTTTGTACCTCAAGAACCAGCTCCAAATTGTGGGGGAAATCCACATACGTGGACTCCATAAAGTGTGGACTTTTATAACCCAAACCTTCTGTTAAAAGGATAGAAGTGAGCATGTAACTGCAGATTTGTGGAGAATTGCTGTAGAAGGCTGTTTACTAAGGTTTTGTAAGGGTCTAGTACATCCATTTATGTGTTACATAGCTGCTATTCATCCTGCATGTGTAGTGCATGGACTGACAGTCAATTACAAGCTATTAATAAATCAACAAAACACTTTAATTCTAACTGGATTTCAGCCACGAGTTGTTTTCCCCTACAACAAACACACATGCTCTCTTCAGTGTTTTTTACTTCACACTGACATGCAGCCTTCAGCTAAAACTTAACTGTCTCAGGTTTTTCTTCTTCCTTTTCCTTCACCTGAGGGCACCCAAGATACTCAGGGAATCAACCACCTACCTATACAGGTCATATGTGCTCCAGTACTCAGACTGATAACAAACTACTACAATAACTGTACTCCCCCAAAATAATGGCTCCAAAACCTGGGCCAAAAATAGATCACATCTTTGAAAGCTGGATATTAAGTTCTGGGGTTAGACAAACGGAAACTTAAAAGATTTAACATATGCTAGCTTTCTTAGTGTGGCTTCTTAAACAAGATGCTCTAATTAATTTAATCCACTAGATCAGATCTTTGCAACAGGAAACTCCCATTTAACACCAAAGTCGCTATGTTTCTCTCCCCTGCAACTGACAAAGTTTAGTTTTAGCTTGCTTCTACAAAACATTGAAAAAAGTGTAATTCATTTTACTTAAGCAAAATAAAAGTTAAATTTAATTTTGTATTGTTTGCTTCTGAACTTCTGCTGATGACATTTTCATAAATGAGAGGTCATCAAGAATCCTTTCCTGTGTTTTAACTTCACAAATTCAGTGTCTTTTGAAAGCACTGGAACTGCAAAATCTAATGTGTGGGTTACAAAATATAGGGGCCTCATTGTCATCCCTATATCCTAAGTAGACTTGCATAAAACTATACATCGACAGATCTTGTATTCAAAGACACTGAACAAGCAGGCTCATTCATGTGACTCAGACTCTCAAAATCTTTTTGAGATTCAAAAATACTAACATTCATTAAGGGTAAATGTGCTTCTTCTAAACCTTTTTTTTATTTATGGGCTCCTAACTTTGATTGATCTAAATAATTATGTCACGTAATTCTTTTTTCCATTCTTCTATAATCAGAAGAAAACCAGTATGTATTATCCATAAAGATTTTTAAAATTAACTAAGCTTACAAGAAACATTATGTCACCTTAGCAACTACCTTTTACAAGTTACTTACTCTGAAAGCTGATTTCTAATGTGCACTTAAGAATTTAAAGTAATTTCTAGACTAGCAACTGGCAACCACATTCTTCTTCCTTACAATTTCAGAAAGACATAAAGACTTACATCTGAAAAAGAGAATTAAAATGTAAGAGCTTTGTGACAAAAACATCTGTTCATAGTAAACTGTTTTCAAAGCTGTTCATTCAAGTGCCATACAAAGAAGGTGACTAGTGGAAATCGGGGTAACCTAGAATTCCAAGAAATACTACATTAAAAAAAAATCAACACTAAAAACATACATAAAAGGCAGTTATTCAAATGCAGTCAGCCAGGAAAATGAACACCTTACCTGTCAGTTGCATGCCCCCTAATTCCAGCCTCCAGCCAACACTGCTCTAATGCCATATTTGCTACTCACCACCTCCACTACTCCCCAGCCCTTTTCCAAGTTAACTGAATATCTGAACTTCCCCCCCCTCTACCACACCCCAAATGCTAGGAAGAAAACTACTCTTCTATTTCCCTTGTTCAGAAGATACGTTCCCCCATCACCAAACCACATTCTTACCTACTTTACGTATTCCACCTGTGGAATATGGAATTAAAGAATTGGAAATCCTTCCTGTTCTCCATAACTTAGAGTGCTTCAAGCAAGCACAGTAGGAGCACTTCTCCAATTAACATTTACCCGGCACATTCCACCTCCTCATTCCCTTAACATATCTGAGTCACAACCACCAGCTCAAGTGACTAGAAATTAACTTGCTAAAGCAAAAATCGAAGTTAGGAGTGATTTGACACACAACTTAAGAGAAACACACGTTTGGGAACCTGGAGAGCTTTCCCTTGAACTAAGTGAATTTTAATCAAGACAGAGAGGACCTGTAGAGAGATGTGGCATCTTGTATTAAGTCCATTGATGTACTATGAAAAAAACATGGAGGGTTTCAGAGAGACAAGCTCTTCTTTTTGATTTAGTCTTACAATTAAGGGCTATAAAAGTTATCAGACTTTACAGCCTCTTTCTCTTTTTCCAAGAGGGTTGCTGTTCTTTTCTAAGGAAAATGGAAGATGCACTCATTCCGCTTGAATAATTATGGATTAGGCTTGTAAGGAAAAGCAGGACAGAAGATTCCTTCCCTTCTTATAATGATCTTTTGTACCTTCTTTGTCCATTTCTTATTCAAAGTCAAAGCCTGCATATAAAATAAACCTCCAAATTAGGACCTTAAACTGATCTTCTAGTCAGCTGAATACTGCACGAATAGCTTCTTTTTAAACAGCATTTCTGTTACCTTGAAAATTGAATATTGTTTAGCAGTAAGAGGTAAATTTAGTATCTCTATTAGTCTTTGAATCATAATTCAATAATCCTTGACAGAATATGAAGGCTTCTGCCTACCTTACCTAGTTTGTGCCACACCATTGTCTAACTCCACCTGCTGGATAATCTTCTTACAACAACCCCAGAAAAGCTTTAGTTTCACCAGTACTGATACAACACATAGATACAATGACAAAATTGATTGAATGGTATACCTGCTAATATATCTTTCATGCTTTTCTTTTCCACCATTCTCCATCAGTACTATCAAGTGAACTTTCTGGGTAGGTTATTTTTTCTAAACACCTCAGGTTGATGGGCTGTATTTGTAACTACTATCAATTTCTGGTAATGGAGTTATATACAGGAAAAGTCATAGCTCTGTGTCACAGCTAAGGAGAAAAAAGTATACTTCATGCTTTTCAGCCTCTGATAGTAGAAAAGTAGAAAGTAATGTGTAAAATGTATTTTTTACCTAATATTTAGATAAAGTAGCATTTGAAAAATTAAAAGTGATGGGACATAAAAGAACAGGTAAAAAAATACCATGGAACTCCAAAAAAGTATCAACTCCAGAGAATGCTAATTCTAAGTCAATTTGCTAATTGGAAACATACACATCCATCTGAGTGCTAGGTGACTCTTCCGCTTGCTACTCCTTTCAGTAAATTAAGTCAAATAATGATACATATATTCCATTAGAGCTACAACGAAGCATCCAATGTTCTTTATGGCTGAGCTCTGCTATTCACGTTCAGAAACACTTCTACCTTTGGGGGTGGAAGGAAAAGTAACTGAATTTGAGAGCTGTAGGTGAAGGGCAGCAACTAGAGATATTTTTATGATACAGAACTTAATTAACCACTTGCTTATACACAAGTCAAATATTCAAATTTCAAACAATAACTGACAGTAACATTTTAACCATAATTTCCAACCCACAAAACCCATAATAATTTAGATCTGTGTATTTGCTTATATTTTCTCTTATAGGATGTCTTATAAATCCACTTTCCACCAAGTACTATTCTTTATTATGTATGATTCATCATCCTTTAGGAATAACTGAAAAATTCAAGACTTGCAAATCATACCTGGAGCAGACTGTGATACTGAAATGATGGAAGAGGCATTACATTTGAGAATAGTAATTTAATAAAAAAATTGGGAGAGCATGTATTCCCTTAGAACACTTCTCAAATATTTCTTAGAAACAAAAAAATTAACAGCATTTTACACAGGATATCTGTATGTTGTAGCTTAGGCAGAAAAAAAAAATTAACAGCATTTTACACAGGATATCTGTATCTTGTAGCATAGGCAGAAAAAAAAACCCTGCTGCATACAGATTATTATCATTTCAGAATGTCATCACAATAATAGCACAAGTGAAGACTATCTGCAATAAGAAGTTTTATGGAAGCTCCAAGACAACTATTATTTCTGATGAAGAACTATTTTTTTCCTCTTGAAATAAGTCCATCTATTTTTGCCAGGTCTCCAAAGGAAACTGTTGCAGAACCTCTCTGGGCTGGCCTTGCCTAAGCCAAAAAAAAAAGAAGAAAAAAATTTATAGGGCTAATTTTATATTAAAATATCTTGTAGAATGTTTTGAAAGTATCACTAATTTAAAAAGCACCTTCAAACAAACAACAGTTCAGCTTCACATTACCTGTGATTCATGGAATTTCCAGCCAATCATGTAGTAGATCTGAAATGTGGCAGGTACTGAGCCATCGCTATTTCCATATATTTCTGTTAGGACAGGAAAGGAAAGAAACAAAAGGTACACAGAACATCAGTTCTAAGAAATACCTAGTTCTCAGAACTTTAAAACTAAGTATGACATATTCAGCATAATGACTCTTGGTGAAAGATTTGGTACAATAAAAATATCTCATACTGGTGCATCAACATAGTTCAAATCTTGTCATTATAATTAAGGTTAAAAATACCTGTATGATAATGGTATTTCTTTCTATTCCAAAATGTTGTGGGTTGTTTTGGTTTTTTTTTCTCCACATGGAGGTCAAAGAAAAAGACATAGAAAATATGTTTGTAAAGTCATTTCAGATTAACTCATTGCCTCTCAAATACTTACCTCTGTATATTGCAGCAGCTGCCAACATTGTCCCCCTGTGTAGCAGAGGTTTTCTATTCCAAGAGCAATTACTCTCCCCCATACCTAAAAATATGTTTTAGCTTTAAGAAAAAGAAGATATAGCATATGCCATGAGTTAAGTGTCATGCACTAAGGACAGATTATTATTAAACCAGAGTAATGAGGTAAGTTTCTTGCCTATAAAGAATCCAAGCCTTTTAATGTCAATGTTTTGCAATTTACAGTTTGTATTGCTAGGAATGATTTAAATTATACTTCTTCAGACTGAGTTTTCAAATACTTAGGTTTTCTAGTATAATTTCTTTAAGCACGAGTACAGTGTTTACTCAGACACACCACTCATATATATGTATTTTTAACAGATAACCATCAAAATTACCATCCCTAGAGATTTTTAATAAGAAATAATAAAATAACCACAATTCTCATCTCTTTAATAACTTATTGCATCTGAATGTTTCTACAGAGAATGAAAGTTTTATTTTCATTAAGGAATTACCCTAAACAACAACAAGATGCCCTGAATTGCTCTGCAGGTAACAGCTGACTGCATATGAATGACTACTTTACAATCTATGACAAATGCAATCAGAATAACAACTCCATTGTTAAGCATCTCAACTGTTTTTTGCATTCCTCAGCAGACTCCAATTTAAGGGTCTCTTTATTCTCATTCCAAAGCAGTTCCCTGAATGTCCTAATAATTAGGGAGGCCCGCAGGAAAAGTTAGTATGTGGGATATACTCTTCTGTCTCCCTTTCAGGGCTTTCCATTAGCTTACACTGAACAGGCTCACAAAGAACGGGAATACAAAAGAAACAGAAGACTCACAGCAGACCACAAAGTAGCAAATCTTTGACTTGCACTTCCCAACACAAATCTGCTGACAGGCATAACCTCCTGACTCACCAGAGATCAGAAAAAAGTAATGCTTCTACTGTTACAATAAGCTTTATTATTTATTTACATATTTTTAACAAATAAATTTTTTTATGATGGTGGTGAAACACTGGAACAGGTTGACCAGAGAGGTGGTACATGCCCCATCCCTGGAACCATTCAAGATCAGGTTGGACTGGGCTCTCAGCAACCTGATCTACTTGAAGATGTCCCTGCTCATTGCAGGGGTTTGGACTAGATGACCTTTCAAGGTCCCTTCCAAGCCAAACCATTCTATGATTTGGAGCTAAGAAACACGAAGTGAAACTCTTCTGTGTCCACATCACTGATACAGAAAACATTTGTGTTTCACAAAGTACACACTTGCCTTGCAAGTCTTCCATAACCTCAAACAACCCTGGGTAGTTGACTTGAATTTCATCGGTATCCTAAAAGAAATTAGAAGCTTAGTTTTAGAGCATATCAAGCTAAAACAAGAGCATTATGCAAGCCTTCAGAGCTGTTAACAGATTATTCATCTGCCACTTCTGTTCAAACTGTGTATTCCTCAGAAGAACATACTGTCTTAATATTTTTACAAAGTTCTGTTTAGTAGCTCAAATGTGATGAAATTTTAATTGAAATGCCATTATTTTCTTCTTGATTTTAGAAGAAACAGCAAGAACGTCTAGCTTTTTCAAGCAGGTATAACATTCTCTGACATTTCTCCAAGAAGATCATCCAAATTCTACTGGGCCACTAGCCAAAGATACACTCCAGTTGGTTTCATTAATCACAATGAAGCCAAGAACAGAGGCAGTCCAGGCTATTTCAGAAACTTATTCAGCAAGGTGCCCAACATGCAGAAGGAAACAGTACCTTACTAATACATTCATAAACAGTATTTTTTTATATACCAGCAGCTCTGATGTTCTGTATCGTTCTGTCTGATTGTTCTCTTATTTATAATTACCACAGTCAGGGTGTTAAAGCCAGCTCTTGACAGCAGATGTCCCAAATCAGAGACAGCAGTGAATGGTGATACATGAGGAGAAAATCCCCCTTCCCTCTCCAATTCTGCTAGCTGCAAAGAGCAGCGAAGCTCATACAGAGTGTCTCCCCCAAACATTGCACCAATGAATACTCCGTCCGGCTTAAGAACTCGGTGAATCTACAACACAGAAAAAAAAAATTTTTTTTTGTTATTAAGCCCATGTAACTAAGAAGTTCTTAAGACTTTTTTTTCTTTAAAATTAACTTAAAAGCAATCATTTTAATAGTTGTAACAGATTTTTAATATTGACTGTATTCCACAAAGCAAGCTGCACCAAAGCTTTTGGTAACATTGCAAGAAAAATAATCTGTCTGAAAAGAGACTATTTGGTCTTAAGAAAGAGCGAATTAGAGTCAGGAAATGCAAAATGCACTGCAGAAATCTAGGGTAAAGCTATTTTCAACAGGATGCTCCTAAAACAATATCCTCAATTAATTTACTTCTGAAAATAAGGTAGATTAAGATAGCTTCTGCTTACTTTTACTTTCTCAGATGAAGGCAGCAGAAATACTTAATGGCTTGATTTAAGAGAAACAGAGGCCTTAAGTTCTAGTAGTGATCTTTGCACTTCTCAATGCACAACAAAGTAATTCTTATTATGTCTACCCTTACTTATTTTTAACTAACCAGAATAACAACATTACAACTCAAACAAGTTGGTGTCAAGGCTGACAAGCTGCTTTCTTGTCTAGTAAGTCCTAGCCCCCTTCCCACTGAGGAGGCCAACAAATTCATGCTTTCTTTTTTCCTTAAGAATTGGCAATGATCCCTGGTTTATATATCCAGAAGAGCCATATTACATAGTCAGGCTAACAAGACAGCAAAAGCTCCAAACAGTTTACCTTACTGATCTGAAAAAAATATTTTAAACTGGTTTTTAGTTAAATATTAATCAAGCTACCTTTTCTATGCTAATAAAGAAGCTTTTAATTGACAGGTAAGAAATATAAGGAGCTGAATGCAGTTTCCAGTTGTCAAAGCCAGTGGTCCCACAGTAGGAAATGAGCATTCACAACGAAAGTTGGCTAAGAACCCTAGTTCCCCCCTCCTTTGTGGGACATTATAATGAGTCCGTTATTTCTACTGTGGAGGTAAAAATATCTGACATATTTATGTGATATATTTATTTCCAAGCCTTTTTAAGTACTGAAGGCATTCCATTCCTATTTTTATTATTTCCAAAACAGCAGGGCACTCCTATTCATATCAAGAGGTGACAGAATAGCACTGTAATGACTGACCAGCTTGAAATACATTAAAAAAAACAGAAAACTGGTTAAAATATTCCTTGCTCTTGCTCCCAAGTTAGCTGATTTGAAAAAAAAGGTTTTGCCTGCAGGAAGGAGCTGAAATACTCCAGAATCAGATTTTTTTTTCAGTAACAACTTCAGTTTTTTGTCCTTAAGAAGTATTTGCTTGATTTAAAAATCAAAAAGCCTTTATCTGATTAAAATTGTATTTAAAAATAAATAGCTGAAACATAAAAATAATACAAGTTCCATAATCCAGTTCTGGAGAAGCCAGATCTAGAAAAGTCTTGTACTGCAAGTAGTAAGAGCTAACACACAAATAAATCAATATCATTGCCACAGTTTACATTAGTTAGCATGATCTCAGCTGTTAAGACTATAAAATATTACACAAACATTGTTTCACAGTTCTTTACTCCAAATTGATTTGAGACAGTAAATTAGTCAAAACGTCAACAGATGCTCTTCAAACTACCAAAAATACCACAAAAATTATTTGCATGCAAAGTGAGCTACTTCTGTGCCTCTCATTTAAAGAGGACCTGGAAATACAGAGTGCTCTGAACACAAGTATTAGCAAGTGTTGATTTTTAGTATTTAGAAACAGTTTCTTACCTCTCTAAAAGCTCTAGGAAGGTCATTCACCCAATGTAAGCTGAAATAACAGAGGTGTACATTTTATAATTGCATATTAAATAAAATTTAGGGAATGCAAATAAATGTTACATTATCTAATGCACATTACTGTATCTAAACAATGCTGGCTTGTTCCAGAAGCCAAAGCAAACTAGTTTCTCAAGCTGCAAAAGTTCTGAAATGCCTGCCTAGAAGGGATACTGAATAAAACCTAAAGTTTACACATATAGTTTGGGTTTTTTGGGTAAGTTTTGTTTGTTTGTTTTTTGGTTTTGTTTTTTTTTTAAGCTGAGAAGATGCAAGTCCTGGAAACTAGTTAGTCAAAATACAGGAAAGAGAGAAGCTACATCTGTCTTGAAGGAAAACAAACAAACAATAAAATAAGAACCATCAGAACAGCAGTTTTGCCTAATGTATACCCATACTAAATAACCAAATATGTTTCATACAGCATGACTTATTACTGTTTAATAGACTATTTACCTCTTTTTTCTCCTTAAAGTTACTCTCAAATAACACTATTTAAGATCTTTGACCAAAAATTAAAATGTAAATAAATGATTAATGCATACCTTAAACTGCTAACAACAAGATCAAATGTATCTTCTTTGAAAGGAAGGAATTCCTCATCAGCTATAACACTGATTGTAGGTATTTCCGATTCTACAGCGTTTTTCTATGGGTTGGGTTAGAAGAAAAACAACATAAAAACTCACTTCTTTTGCTTTCCTGTGTTATGGAATTGAAGCACATTCAGAAAGCTACTTACTAAAGCATTCTCTGCAATATCAACTTGAATAAGTTTTTCAACCGTTTCCTGAAATAAAATGTTAAAAGACTGTCAAATATTTAAGTTGTTTTACAAGCTGACACTGGCCATTTTTTTGAAAACTTACACATATTTAAAATAGGTTGGAAGCAACCTCCTTACCATGTGATAAAACTTTACGTAAAGCAGAAAGCATTTTTTCTCTTAACATACTACTTAGCAATTGCTCCCAGGGAGAACAGCTGAGGTAAAAGTATTATCAGAAAACACATTCTGCATTTTTATGTGTAAGTTCAGTCAGACATAAACTATGGATTAGCAGCCAATGAAGTACTTTGACTTACAGCCCGGTTCATGAAGGGTAAACTGGTCACCATTCAGAAGTTCCCATAATGACACTTCCTTTTAACAACCAAGCGTGCCCAAAAAGATTTATCAAAAAACATGGACCTCCCTACTCAAGTCTAAGGTTAACTGTCGTACAACAGATAGTTCCCCTTGCACTATTATCTAAGTCTTCAGTGACAACAGAGTAACAGCCTGCACAACCCACATCTTTAGACTACAGATACAGATATAGAGGGGAAATATTTACCTCATCAAGATGCAGAAGATTGCTGTAAGTTATAACAGAGCTTTATTTGAAAACAGAGAAACAAGCACATACTTATTTTAAACACTGTGAAGTATGAAGAGCCAGTACCTTGTTCAAATGTTGAGCTATGTAACCTCTTCCAGAGCCAACATCCAAAGCAAGAGGAAACGTTCTAAAGGGTAAATTTAACAACATAAAACATAATCAAGACTTAAAGTTACTTGGAGCTTTATTAAGCTTTGTCTGCCCATTTCTAAACGTCTTTTCGAACTAAACGCACCAACCATCCTCCTGCGAGAAAGCACAGAGAAAGACTCCCACAAGCCAGCGTTTCTTCCCGAGGATCACGGCCCCGGGCCGTGCCCCTGCAGCTGCGGGGGAGAGGGCGGGACACCGAGCAGGGCCCTCTCCCCCTCAGGGCGAGCCTTACCTGGTGATGTCGAACACCCTGTC